CAGGCTGCCTGGTGCCCCCACCTCCCCCCTGGCCCCCAGCCAGCTCGATGCCAGCCCCAGCTGAGGCAGTGGTGCCACATCTCCAGCTGCTGCTGGAAACCCTCTGTGCCCAGGTTGGGGCAGCTCCTGCCCCTCCAGCTTCAGGGCCTGGTGGGTGGGTGGCTGGAAGGGCTCTGGAGTGGCTGCTGCTCCCCAGGAACCTCTTTTACCTGCTCTTACCCTCCTCTGTTTGCTGCCCCTTTCTATTTATAAAAGATACTCGAACCATAAAGACATAAAATTGGCTATTTTAAAGGAAAACTGCTTTGCTCCCGAGCCTTGGAGGTGGGAGCAAAGGGCAAGTCCCAAATCTTCAGCCACCTCCTGCTCTGCTGGCACCATCCTGCACACCAGAGGGGGCCAGGCCTGCTGGGACCTCCAGCTGCTGCTTCAGGGCTTCCTCCAGCGTCGAGGATCCTCAATAAAGATGCTGAGCCAACACTGGTGGTGGCTGTGGCGGGAGCAGGGTGGGAGGACAGGACTGCTGGGGATGGGGAGGTGACAACTGGGCTCCTCTCCCCCCTTCCTGGCAGCTGTGCCATGCTGCTCCTCCTCCCTGCCACCTCTGGCCTCCTGGGGAGCTGCTGGTGGCCTGGCTGCCCCCTGCCCTTGGGGACATCGGGTCTGTGTGTGTCCCTCAGGGGGGACCAGCTGGGTGCCATCCACACACACAGCTCTGGAGCAAATCCCTCGGGGGACAGCTCCCAAAACAGCAAGAAAGTGCCCTGGGCACGGCAGAGCCTGACTGACCCCAGGCTGCAGCAGGGAAAATTGGGGCGTGCGTCACAGCGGAGGAGCCAGGGGCAGCCCCAGGGGACACAGCCCATGTCCCCAGCCCTGGGCCTTCCACACTCCTCACCAAGCCACGCTGCATCTCTGCTGCAGGTTTTTATGTCTTTAAAATAGTGCTTTTATATTTAAAACAGGCTTATAAATGTGCCACCCCCTCTTTACATCCGAGAGAGGCAACGAGGTGGAGTGCACGGTGCGCGGGGGGGGGGAACCCCTCAGCAGCACTCCGGGGGACACAAACTCACACCCTCCAGCTCCACCACCTCGGGCAAAGCTTTGTTCCTCCTGAAGAAGAACTGAGCGTCCTCCTCGATGTTCAGGAGCTCCCTGAGGGAGGACACCACGGGGTCGTGGTCCTTCAGCATCTCCCCGCTCTATCCGCACCGAGCGCCGCACGGGCGTCAGCAGCTTCAGCTCCTGCCCTTCCAGCAGCTCTTTTCCTCTGCAGAGAGAAGAGCTTTTTGGGTAAACCCCTCAGAGGGGTGCTGGCACAGAGGGGGCTCGCTGCCAGGAGCGGGCAGCTCGGCCTTACCTGGAGGCAGATGTAACTTGTAG